ACACAACAGACACTAGTATGGCAATATGTAAATCAATGGATGTGTAACTGATGTGATTCTGCAATCTGTATATGGGGTAAAAATGGGAGCTCATAGCCCGCTTGAATCAAAGTGTGAAATATGATATATCAAGAACTATGTAATGTTTTGAACAGCCAACAATAAAAAATTAAAAAAAAAAGAAAAATCATCCTTACTATTCCCCTTCTCCCTCCCTTTCCCTACCACCCCTATTCCCTAAGAAATAATTTAAAAAGAAAAGTAAAATCATGGTTAAGAATGTAGCTCAGTGACAGAGCACTTGTCAGCATGTGTAAGGCCTAGGTTTGATCCCCAATACACTATATTTTAAAAAAAGAATGAAAAGAAATCTCTCTAGAATTTTAAGAAATTCAAAATGAAACAACACAAATATTTATTTAAAAATATATATGTATGTGTGTGTATATGTGTGTGTGTGTGTGTGTGTGTGTGTGTGTGTGTGTATATATATATATATATATATATATATATATATATATATATATATATATATATTTGCTTGTGCATAGCTTGAAAATATCTACAGTTGATGCTTTGGAGAAACAACAATGAATAATTTAGAAAATTTTATTGTTACATTTTGATACAAAAATGACCAACGTACACTCTCACTCTCAAATAGCTTATTGCCCCTGAGAATGCAGTATGTAAGCAACAAAGCTGAATGAAATAAACACTGAAGTACAAATATACTGTAGATGGAGCACAAGTGAGGATACAATTAATTTAGGTTAATAAAATTGGCAAAGGCTTTGGGAAGGTGCCTGCACCTGCAAGTAAGCTGTATCCTTAAAGATATGTTTGATTTTCATAGGCAAAGAAAGATGGGGATTTAATATAAAAGGAACCACACAAGCATGGTATGTTTTGAATGTGCATGCTTAGCCAAACAGAATGCATGGAATATGCAGTGAGTAATAAAATTAAGAAAAGGTAGTCAGATTGCAATAGATCCTGAATGCCATTGTAAAGAATTTACATTTGATTCTATAAATTGTTTTAAAAGGGCTTCTCTGAAAGATAAGAAATTGGTATCAAGGAATTTACATTTGATTCTATAAATTATTTTTAAATAGTTTATCTGAAATCTAGAAATGGGAGGCCAAGCTCTATCTCCCCAGTGGCAAGCCCTGATAACCAACTGATCATCAAAATTTCTATCTATAGATAGCGGAAACTCAACAGATCTAAGTCAAACCCATTCATTCCAACCTTCACTCTGTCTATGTGTGTTCTTGATAGCAGCAGTCACTTAGTTACCCAGTGCAGAAATTTGGAAGTTACTGAGACTACATCATCTTCACGTATTCTTGCATCCCATTGGCTGTCAGATTTTATTTTTTTCATCTAGTTTCTAAATATCTGTAAATTTGTCCTCTGATCTACATTGCTGAGCATGTTTCCCTTTGCCCCAACCCTTGTAGATGTATTGTTCATCCTTTTCTGCTCTTCTGTGGTTTTCTCAGACTGGTGCTATAGAACGCATCACTTGCTTGTCCTTTTGTTGCTTGTATTTCTGATGAGGAGCCTGTTGCCTCATGGGAGCTACCTGCAGAATCATGGAACACTGAAAGAAGAAGAATCCTGGATCCCTTGCTGGTTTCTTTACAGTGTTAACACTTCTGAAAACAGACTTTTCATAAATGTCCCACCAATGAAAGTTCTTAGGAAAATTTGGACTCCTTCCAGGACCCAGAATCACATAGTATCCTGTGCCAATTAGGTTTGATGCTCTCAAAACTTGTGATTCTCCCACCTCAGCCTCCCAAGTCATTAATTACAGGTGTACACCACCACACCTGACTACAAACTACATATTTTACACTGTTTTGCAGAACTTTTTTTTTCCAAATGTGATATTACAACAGTGTGTAAAAATAGGAAAATACTTATGCTAAAATGATAAATATACAATATCCCACATTACATAAATAAGATAATCTCAGCTTTGTGAAAATATACAAATACCAAGATGAAAGGAAAGGAAGCATTGTTCTTGGTTGTGAAATCAATGCTGTTTTTTTCTTAGAAGTTTGTCTATAATTTTCCTCTGCAGAGAGAGAGAACAAGAACAAAAGAAGGAAACAGATTATCCAACTCTGATTTTTTTTTTTTTTTTTGGTTTTTGGTTTTTTAAAAATAATTTTTAGTTGTAGGTGGACACACAATATCTTTATTTCATTTTTATGTGGTGCTGAGGATCGAACCCAGTGCCTCAGTAGAGCTAGGCAAGTGCTTTACCACTGAGCCACAACCTCAACCCCTGTTTTTTGTTTTTTAGTTGTGGATGGACACAGTTTACCTTAATCTTATTTATTTATTATGTGGTGCTGAGGATCAAACCCAGTGCCTCACTTGTGCTGGGCAAATGCTCTATCTACCACACAGCCACAAACCCAGACCCCTTTCTGTTTTTAATAGATATTTTATAGATTTATTTTTCATCTTTTAAGAATATTACTAACCTTGTGTTTCTTTTTTTACCAAGGTGCTTAGAATTCATACAGATGCCTAAAATTTACTTAAGAAGTTTGAATTTAATTTGCAAAAAGGCTATCTGACATAAAGTCTAAAAAAAACCCAAAAAACTGAGATGATCTTTTAACTGCAGTATTAGTGATAAAGAGTTTGTAAGAAGTGAGGCTGGAGTCTGTTTTAGATGCTCATGAATTGCAATTTAGCTTAAAATTAAAAATTTACCAGAGTATTTTACATTACCATTTTCTTTCTCTTCTCAGAGGACAGATTATTTTGGGCCCCTTATCAATTGTCAGGCTTACTGTTGCATTTGATTTGATCAGCTCAATTTAAAAAGCTAAAAGTTAGATTTATTGAACTGCTTCACATTTTAATAATTTGGATAAATTTTTTTCCTCAACTATGACTTATCTAAATGTTTTAATGCCTGTCTACATATAATTCTCTTATGCCAATTAATTTATTTCATAAAGGAATTCTCAAATAACCTAAATTGCAGGGCATATTTAAATTGCCCCAAAACATGAAATTCCAACTTGAATATTACTTGTCAGAATAAATGTACCTTTTTAATGTTTTTTTGTGTCCCTACATATGGAAGATGAAAAATGAAATTATTCAGTGTGGAAATACTTTAAGTTCTAAAATATCATTTTGTATTTTTGCTGCAATAACCAAATTTAATGAATTGCTCCAAGGGAATTTTTGTATAGTTTTTCTCCTCCATTTTGTTCTCCACATCTCATTCTGTTCCTCTTCTTTAATCATTAACTTCCAATTCCTCTAGATTTATAGTTTAACTATCTGCTGGAGGACACATTTATATGGAACATTTTATTTTCAAATAACATTTATTTAGAATATCAGTGAAGTGTGATACATACAGACATGGAAATTCCTTGATTTTTATGATAAAACAATTTGGTTTAATCTAATGAAAATATTTGAGATAAATGTGGTTGTTTCTACATTTGACAGGGCCAATCTCAATTTTGATAAAATATCAATTTTTAGATGTGAAATCTGTAATAAACAAAACAGCCTTTTAACACAGAAGACTAAGGTCCTTTTTATGAATCTGCTATAGGAAAGTAATTTATAATTTTACCAGCAGAAAATACATGATTATATCAATGAAATTTTCATCATGTTTTTGAAGATTTGAGAATAGAAGCTGCTAATAAAATACAGAATCTGCAACTTTCAGCCCAACTGAAAAACATTTGCTATGTTCTGTTTTATATTTTATTAATCTGTATAGAGATACTATCATTAAGTGTTCAAAATACTCAAGAAACTTGAAGTGTGGGGTGTAATTATCCAGTGAATATCCTAAATAATATGGCTAAAGTTGTTCACTTTAGTTTGACGGTCTCCTGAAAATTATTTCCAATACTTCTTAGTTTTTAGGACAACTGTTCCCTACCACCAAATATATGCTATCTTTTCAAGTTTCCCGGTGCACATTAAAAAAATACATAATTTATAAAAGCTGGTGGTGTGAAATAATCCTAGAGAGCAAAGAAGAGTGAAATAAAAAACTAAATACATGTAAATTGACCATTGGGTACAGGTGTTATGAATTCATTTCATTAAATATAAACTGCTTATTTAATATTTCATGACCTTAATGAAACTCCTTTATATTTAAATTTCTTATTCAAATGGAAATGAATATGGAATAAATAATACTCTTTTTGTTGCCATGTGGCAGGTTGGACTTTTTAAGTCAGGTTAATTAATTGTTTATAATTTATGTCAAATTGAAATGGTTGTTGCCCAAGTAAAGGATGCAGCCTCTTAAAATGAGAACAGAAAGTTTTTCTTTGTTCTATTTATTGTTTTAATTGTTGGGAGGATATTTGGTTAAGGTCAACATAATTTCATCTTGTGGTCAATTTTGCTGTCTCCATGTCCCCCAAACTTGCTTAAAGCAAATTTTGTGCTTCAGATTATTTAATTTCATCTGAACTGACTTAATATGATTGTCTGGAAGAAAAAAATTGGGGGGGGGCTTTTTGAAAACATAACTTGCGTCTAAGTATCAAACCTAAGCAACAATGAAAATGTCATTCATATTTTCAAATAACAAGTTAATGTTGCAGTTTCCTTGATTGTTACATACACATCTTTTCACAGACATTTCGTTAAAGTTCAAACAAGGTCCAGGCTCCATATTGCATTTGGTTGATGTCTCCTTTAATTGTCTTTTAATCTATGCATTTTCTGCCTTTTAAATTTTTTAAAGTAGTGGTTGGGCATTTATTTACTAAACATTTCCTAGGTATCTTTTAAATGAAAGAAACCAAGTATGTTCATATTAACATTAGCAAAGTAATGCTTCACATTAGAATTCATTCATAAGGCATATGCCATATAACTCTTGCCATAGGAAAGAACATATCTTAAAGTTCATTTTGTATGAAATAACATAATAACATATTTATTTATATCTCAAATCTAGCACTTAACAGTCTCACCTTAAAAGGCCACTTTTCATCAGATCCACTGGACTTGAATTTTTCCCTCATGGTGATTTCTTGTCTCTCCACATTCTTTGCATCAGTCCTTCAGTATGTTTGGACATTGCTTAGTACTTGACGTCAGGGCCCACCTCTATCAATATGAAGTTAGCCCCACCATCTGTTCCCTTTTCTTCCACACAGGGCTTGTTGAACATTACTGGAAAATGTCTCAACAACATGTTAAAATGTTAACTTTATACTTTTTAACCTGGATTGAGCACTTATTATTAACTCTGCTGATCTCTTAATGTCTCACTAAATTCTTACTAAATTCCTTGGAGCAGTTTTTCTGAGTCTTTTTCATTTACATACAAGCCCACTCTTGGAATTCTCACTGTGCAGTTCCAAGCAGGAGGTATGTTAAGGGCATTCAGGGACAGTCCCTTATCTGTTTCCCTTTTCCCCCTGTGTCCTACATACTACCAAAATGTTTCCATTATAAAGTACTTTCCTATCCCCATAGTCTTAGCATATTTGTACGATCTTATAGCATCAAATGCTATATTTCTTTCCTGCTTTATTATTTTGGTGTCCATTTATTTTTTCCTGTATGCCTAAACATGTTTAAATTTCAGTAATTAGCACACACACACACACACAAAAAAAAACATGTATAGTTGGATGGGTGAATGAGTGGGTGGATAAATGGACTAGTAGGTAGAAAGGAAAAACAACTTTTTATCTCATTTTGACCTAGTCCAATAACTTTTCTTCTGATCATGAACAAAATGATATTTTTGAATGTTAGGTTTTCTTATCATGGTACAAGTAATTTGCTGTGTAATATAGGTCTCTAGGCCCTAAAGATCTTTTTAATCTTTCTCTCTTTTCCTTCACCATCAGTCAGCCAGTAAGTCTTGTCAAATCATCTTTTATGTCACCACCATCCCTTTTTTATTCCCAGAAGGTATTTTTTTTTCCATTTCTTATTTTTAATTGTTTTATTAAAAAAAAATTTAAAGAATTTGTTCTAATTACGATGGAGTTGAAGAATATTATACTAAGCAAAATAAGCCAATCCCAAAGAACCAAAGGCTGAATGTTTTCTCTGATATGTGGATGCTAATTCACCTCCATCCCTTTTATTCCTGCTACTACTGTCCACATTGGGATTTTTATAGAGATGGGGACTAAAACCTCATTCCTCTGCCTGCTATTAGCTATTTTACTTATCCTAAATATACAAATATATATATTGATCTTCTTAAGTGTTGTTTTAATGACATTATTCTTTAGCTGTAAAGTTTCAAGTGGTCTCTGTTGTGCCTTGGGGAATTTGTAGTTAGCCTGGCATTGAAGGATTTCCTTGTCATCTCAGCCAGATTTACCTTCATAATCTTTCTAGCTCTATTGCTAATTCCTCTTTAACATAGTTCCATTTCCTACCAAAATCAGTTCCCTAGCTTCCGGGCTGCTTTGCCTCCGAGGCTTCCTGATGGCTCAGCTCCTATCACCCAAACTGCTCATCTCAATACTAATCTACAGCTTTCCTAATGCATCTGGACTCATGACCTGAGTCTTTTTCTTGCCTTTAGTGTCCTTCACTAATTTTTTTTTTATTATAACAGGTACTCCTTTATATCACTAAATATTAAGTAAGGTAACAGCTGTCCCAAGCCCCTGATGATTGGAATTCTCACTGTGCACTTCCAAGCAGGAGGGACAGTTTCTTAATCTGTTTACTGTTACTGAAAAAAGGTTATCTCCCAAGAGGTGCCAGGAAAAAGTACAAAATACCATAGTCAGTTGCCAAGATCTAGATTCTGGACCTTAGGCTTGAGAATTGAATGCCTGATCCATAAATTCACTTTGACTAAGCTTGGAACATTGATATCTGACAACAGAATGCCATTTTACAGTACCAATTGCAATGGCACAGTGTCCTAATAGATTTGTTTTATCCAGCTAGCTTATTTTCTATTTGGAGCAATATATACACAGTTAGCCCCAGAATAATTGAAGGTATAAAATCCAAACAAGAAGAACTCATGTGATGTTTAAAATGCTCTGGCTCAAATGCCATTACTAAACCAAGTTTACCAAGCCAATATTACAGAAAGATCAAGTTCATGCCTTTGGATACCCACACTTTCTTCTGGATAGTACTTAGATGAATATGGGCACTGTTTGTTTGCATCGGTGATTCTACTTTATTTCCCTGGCTTACGAACCAACTGCCATACTCTCATACTGACATACCTACTTTTGTATGTGTCCCCCTTATTCATTTGGTTCTTATCACATCCTGTACATTCTCTCTTCAAAGGGACTTTGTACTCCAGTGTTTTGATCCACTATGCATCGACCTTGAATTCTTAGAAGTGTCATTTCCTTCATTCATAAGATATGAGGGGATGCTTCTTATTCTCAGGTACTAGTGATACAAAATTCTTAGTTAGATGTAATTGTTCCCTAAGTTTGGTCATATTTTTTTATAACCAGTTATTCTGATTTATAGTTTTATGAATGAATGATTCACAAAATGATGTGTTCCTTGAGGACAGGCTGCATGTAAGCACTGCATTCCATCCCAACAAAAATTTACTGAACATCTGATATTTGTCTACCATTCCTACCTCAGAAGGAAATACACTCAGATTATATAAACTCAGTAGTGGGAAGCTCTAACTAGTCCAATAATAATAAAATGTACATTCTAAAAATTCAGATGTTTTAATTTTACTGATAGTTTGTGTAGAAAGTTTTCACATAATTCTAAAATGATTTTTTAAAAATTTCCACTTTTGAATATTCTCTTCCTAATGGTTTCTTCCTATATTTGAGTTCTTTTTTCTTTTTTTTATGATTCATAAGTGACTGTATTTTGATGTATTTTCTTCCAATGTCTTTATTTTTATGTCTTAAAATATACATGAAATTATATTATCATAAGTAAAACTGATAACTAGAAATAGTCACATACCCACCAGTTCGTTGTATAAATGTATACCACTACATATAATAATTGTTCCTTTATGAAAAATTATTTTATGAAACTTTTAGGGTCTGAATGTTTGTTGTCATAAATAATCCTGTAATTAACATAATTATTTGGTTTGTAAAAATCTGTACACATTTCAGATTATTTTCTTATGATAAATCTCCAGGAATGAGATTACTGATTCGATGACTTAAACATTTAAAAATCCTATTAATAAGAATTTTAAAACTTCTTTTTAGAATATATATATTGTTCACAGTGTACAGAGTACAATAGCAATGTACTTGGATGAGAAGTGACTTAAATGAAATGTCCTCTAGGTGCTAAAAAAGTGTTACTAGAAGAGATACAAATGCTGTCATGAGAGAGCACTTGACAAAACAGAATGAGGGGAGAAAGTAAGATTCCATCCCCCCAAAAAAATTGTGTTTTATAAAGTTAATAAAACTTGGGAGCAAATAGTTATGTCCTAAATTTAAAAAATAAGAGTAAGAACAAATCTATCTTTATTATTACCTCTTATGTCTTTTTTAAAAATATCAATCTTTGTGTCTTTGTATATGTTAATGGGCTGTTTATCTTTCAGTTGCCAGAGACATATTGTGGACACAGGTCTTTTGACAGACTTATTTATTGCAAATGTATTCTCAGTTTGTACTTTTCTTTTTGTATTTTTATTGTTTCTTTTGATGAGCACACATTTAAAACATTTTTTATGAATTCCAGTTTTATGAAGTAGGCTTAATTTAAAGATTCTTATATGCACCTTTAAAAAAAAAATTTGTGGTTGTAGATGGACAGAATGCCTTTATTTTATTTGTTTATTTTTATGTGGTGCTGAGGATTGAACCCAATGCCTCACACATGCTAGGCAAGTGCTTTGCCCTGAGCCCCAGCCCTAGCCCTAATATGCATCTTAAATTTGATTATTCCAAGAAAGATCAGGAAGGCATTCTATATTTTCTTCCTGAAGATTTATTGTTTTAGCTTTTATGTATAAGGGTTCCATTTAAATTAATTAAAAAAATTTTTTAGTTGTACAAAGACACAATACCTTTATTTTATTTATTTTTATGTGGTGCTGAGGATTAGACCCATGCCTCACATGTGCTAGGCAAGTGCTCTACCCCTGAGCTACAACTCCAGCCCTAAAATTAATTTTTATGTATCAATTTTTTAAATTTTTAATTTTTTAAATGCTATTTATGTATTTAAAAATGTTTATCTAGTATTTTTCTGCACTATTTGTTGAATGAACTTTCCTTTTCTATAGAATTGACTTGGTGCCTTTGCCCTTTGTGTGTGAACCTTTGAGTTCTTTTTTAATTTCAGTGCCATATTTTATATATATATATATATAATGAAAATTTAAAAGCCAGAGAAAATAATAATGATCTACTCTTTTGCAGTATTTTTATGTTCTTGGTCAGAATTTTGAGAAGTTTTCTTTGGTTCAAATTGATGATTTAAAATAATAGTTATCATACATTTATTTTCTCTAAGTTTTCTTGTAAATATCAGTAGTTAAAATAACCAGTTACATGCATTACTATAATGCAAAACTTAAAGGTTAATAGCAAGCTATTAAGAAATTAAGTAGAACAATGTTTATTACTTTTAATGTATGGCCTTTGGTCATTATACACACACACACACACACACACACACACACACACACACACCCTTCTGTTTTAGCAAGTTGCCTTCTATATGACTGCTCACTCACTAAACCTGCTGAAAATATAGTCATAATTAAATTTATTTCAGTTTTTTAACTCTAAATTTTGATCCAAAATTACAGATATTTATCTGTAAAATTATAAAAGAAATAACAAAATTTTAATTTTTAAAATACTGACAATAGATTGTGAAAACTTCTATCATTTTAATTTTTCTATAAATTTGACTTTTATAATAAAGGTGAAAGTGAAGTTAGAAGACATAAATAAATATTATACTTTTATACTTTATTCCTAGTGAAGTAATACTACCCTGTATCCATCTATTCTATATGCCCTGAAATATTAAAGTACTATGTAGCATGTATGTTGTCTTCAAAACATTATGAATGTATCATGATTTCTCAGCAGTCTGTGATTGCTTTTGATGAATATATAAACTTAACTTTCTGTTTTTACAAATGTTTCTAGAATTTTTCTAAAATGTAGCCCTGATTCTTTAGTAGCAGCACTTGAGAAAATATTAGCATTTCTAGTTCTCTAATGTTACATCAGCTATCTCTATTTTATAAATTTTTAAATAAATTTGTTCTTTAATTGATACATAAAAACACCAAAATTATGCATCTTAATGGGGTACCAAGTATTTGATACATGTACACATAGTATAATTATATTAGATTTCTCTC